GAAGAGCGGGGGGGGAGGGGGGGAGAACCGGCCGGCTGAGGGGAAGGGGTGAGCAAATTGGCCGGCGGGGAGCGGGACTGACCTGGGCACTTGCTGCCTGTTCCGTGGAGGCTCCCGGTGACGCATGAGCAAGGAGGAGGCTTCCCCTCCTCCTCACACTCCACCAACTGAGGGCTCCTGGTAGCAATCGCAGCCCTGCCTCCCAGCTGAGACTCCCAGCTGCTCCCCCTGCCCACGCCAGGCTTCCATCCATTGCGCAGCCGGAAAAATCTGAAAATACCAGACATTGCACATGTCTGGTATTTTCTGATTTTTTTTACCTGACAAAGAGCACAAATACCAGACTGTCCGCTACCGTACCAGACACCTGGCAACCCTATCTACGACCTTACCAAAACTGTGCTTCTGAGATCTGAATCCACCAGTCAAGCTCATTGTAAAATTAGGAGTTGGAATGTGACACAGCATTAAGCATTATACTGTCTAGATAAAATGATTGCCAATTTTGTCTCTTTGGTTTTGTGACTTTACACTGCAGGTTCCAGGTACTGCAGAAAATGCCCGTTCATGCGTTCGAGCCTATTTTTCTGATCTTCATGAAACCCTTTGTCGCCAGGAAGAAATGGCACTTAGCGTGGTTGATGTACATGTGCGGGAGAAATTGATCTGGCTCAGACAACAGCAAGAAGACATGACCATCCTGTTGTCACAGGTTTCAACTGCTTGTCTTCACTGTGAAAAGACTTTACAGCAGGTAGGTGATTAAGTAAGCTGTATCATGGAACAAGTGCATGGGTTGGTCCCATAAATGAAGCCTAGGCTGTAACCTGCTAAATTAAAGCTGTACTTGAAAATTTTCTTCTTTATGTTAGAAACACACTACTATCAGGTGAGATTGAAAACATAATAGCAATTATTCATTGTGTGCATATGGAGACACCAGTGTGTAGTTCAGGATAAAAAATATAGGTTTTACACAGGAAAATTTTTACAGTTGCCTTTGTCACTAAAATGGATGCTTTCATGGAAATAAAATTAGGGAAGAAAAATATTTGCTTGGTATTAATTGGTTCTCTGCAGGATTTGAAACCCAAACTTTGCAGCCCTGTGCTAAGTATAAGTACAAGGATGTGGCTATACAAAAGATAAAACTGACCAGTCTGTTGTTGTTCAACATGAGAAAAAAGGAAATAAATAATATATTTAGTGAAAAGTAAACTTTATTTTTAAAATTCTTTGAGTTTTATTAATTTACAAAAGCGGCAGCCATGTAAATGCAAATGCCGCAGGGGATATTTAAATTCCCCACAGAATTTGCATTTCCGACTGGTCTCATTAGCATCCCTTTTCCGGAAAGGGGTGCCAACGTAGACACAGCCATATAGTACTAGAAGATTTATCTGGGGTTGCTCAGGTACTTCAGGGCACGGGGCTATGGGTGTGGGTGACTCCGAGCAGGAGACTGGGTTGGGGGGGGGGGCGCTAGCTTCTCGTCTCCCTGGTCTACTGGGGGGAAGCAGCTAGTGTGGGGTTGCCTCACCCCGTTTGTAAGTAGGGACCCGATGTAAGTCGGATCCATGTAACCCGGGGACTGCCTGTACTTTAAAGCTGGCTTTATATTTTTTAAACATGATTTTAAATTGCTTTTGTGTGTCTAAGCCTTTGGGAACTGACTGGTCAAATTTCACCTTAAATACTGATATTCTACCTAACTAAACTTCCCACACTTAACAGCTGGTAGAGTTTTTCTACATTGTGGTGGTGTACTGCTATGTGCTGTTAACTACTTGCTGTATACTAAGCCTGAGGAAGCTATAGTAATGTGAATAATAAATATTGATAAATATTATTCTTTCACATCAGTGTATTTTGTTTATTTTTTGCAAAGCTTTTTGTAGTGTAAAAATTTGAAAAATATAATTTCTTACTGTATTTTTGTAAATATAAACTTCATTTTATTAGCTTATTCAAAATAAAAAGAAAACAGTTTTATTACCATACATAATTATCTTAACCCTTTTTGCATTAAGTAGTTTACTTGTGGAAGAGTGCTTCTGCCTTTGTCTGTTTTAGGATGATTGCAGAGTAGTGTTGGCTAAACAGGAGATTACAAGGCTACTAGAAACATTACAAAAACAGCAGCAGCAATTTACAGAACTTGCAGATCATATACAGCTGGATGCTAGCATTCCTGTCACTTTTACAAAGGTATAGTCTTCAAAACCCTTTTTATGTCTTCACCATTCTAGTGAAAATAGATCTCCCTTCTGAAATTCAAAATGTGTTTTAAAGGAAAACTGCAGTGATTTATCACCAAACTTCTCATAAACCAAATGTATTCATCATGTATAATACATCTTTGTTTACAATTTTTCTGACTACGAATGACTCTTATTTGGCACTTTACAAATAGTGAGATGTTGCATGCCACTGAGATTCTGGAGTTTTCTACAAAAGCAGAGAAAATGGATCTTGCTTGTTTTCATTGCTTATATATTTTTCCTCAGGACAATAGGGTACATATTGGACCAAAAATGGAGATTCGAGTTGTGACCCTAGGATTAGATGGAGCTGGCAAAACAACTATTTTGTTTAAGTTAAAGCAGGATGAGTTCATGCAACCTATTCCAACAATAGGTATGTAATTGAGTGATTTAAAAGTTTGACTCCTTCATTATTAGGAGTAAGAATATAAAAAATGAACTTTTCTCTTTTAGGTTTTAATGTTGAAACTGTAGAATATAAAAATCTGAAGTTTACTATTTGGGATGTAGGAGGGAAGCACAAGTTGAGGCCTTTGTGGAAGCATTATTACCTCAATACACAAGGTAGGATTGCAAAAACATTTAGATGGTTTTACACATGCTTACTTATTTTATTTCAATGTTCTATGGTTACATGATTTATAATAATTCTTTTTGGCACTAATGAATGCATACGCTACAAAATTAAACAAAGTGCAGGTGCTAGATTTATGGTGTAAGAAAACACTTTGGTCCAGTTGATCTTGATGCCTTCTGGAAAAGTTGAATTCATCATAAATTCTTCAGATAGTGCCTGGAGCCATAACAAAAATTAGAACCTCTATTACATTGTTGTTAGCTGACAGCGGACAAAGATGCAGCATTCCAGAAGTTCACAGTGGTGAAAAGCAGCACATAACGTATAAACATTCGATGATAATTGAAATTACTCAGCCTTTCTTGCTTAGAAGCTCTACAAAGTGACATAGCTCCTGCAGCATAAAGTCCAATCATAGTTACATTTATATCAGTAAAAACAGGTAAATCATAACAGCTTTGCTGTTCCCATGAAAAAACATTCTTCTGAATGTCACTGGCATGAAAGTACCTACTATGCTTTTGAGCACTGAATTATGGAGATTTCCTAAGTGCTCTATAGTTAAAATTTTCTGTTTAAACTGGAGTTCAGATTCTCGAATTAAATATTTCACGAAATCATTCTTAAACACATAGACTCTTTTAAGGACAACAAACATCAGTTTCCTATGTGCATTCTTCATAGCATTCTTTGCAGAATTTTGTGACATTTTTAATCACTCTTGTTTAATGTAATCTCCGAAAATGATTATTTTTAATCTCAAAAGTCAGAGTGTAGAGATTTCCAATATGGGACCCTATGAGAGGAGAGGAGGTGCAGGGACAGGATAAGAATTGAAAATACTAACCGTTAATTTGCTTCTTTGCTGTAACTGTCTTATTTTTCTAGTGTAAAAGCTGGGAAGTGCTGAAATTTAGAGAATTTTGGTTCTCCTGTGCTGCTTCCTTAACCCATTAATTTTCCTTCCGCATCTCTTCTCTTCAACCCTCATTAATCCCTAACAGTAGATGACTCTCATACCTTCATTCATGCGATTTGACAGCCTTCTAGGCATGTGAGATCCTCCCACAAGTATATATAACCTTATTTTAAGGTTTGTCAACATGAGAAAATTGCACTGGATTAACAAAAGATGTAATTTTTTTTAGACTGAGTTAAACTGGTGCAAAGATGTGTGGATATTTGTTATTTTGATTTAAATTGAATAGGAATTGTTTTAAGCTAAACTGAAATGTTCATACAGGGATTTTAATGAGTTTAACTAAATGGGATTCAAAACAGACTTAAGTAACACCAGTGCAATTTCTTTCTGTAGCTGGGGGACTAAGCTGCTGGCTTTTGAGAAGATATTTGACACATATCTAGGAAAAAAAATATGTCTATTGGTACACTATTTTAATGCTGAGACTTGAGCTAATGTGCAAATCTGAGAAATACAATACAGATTGTATGTGGCTCTTGGAAATAAAGGAGAGTTTATGAAATAGAATTTAGAGTCCATTTGGGTATTATGTCTGACTTTTGAGAGTATGTGTGAATGGATGTGTAACATGTTCTGGTATTTTTTTTCATAGCGGTGGTATTTGTTGTTGATAGCAGTCACAAAGACAGGGTTAGTGAAGCACACAGTGAACTTGCAAAGTTATTAACAGAAAAGGAATTGCGGGATGCCTTGCTGCTGATCTTTGCTAATAAGCAGGTATTGATTTTTTCTACCTCGTTTTCTTTTTAAAACTGTAATTTAACACAAACTTTGTAAACTGTCTACCATAATTCAAAAGTGCAAATGGGAAGGGAAGCTTTTCCTTACTATTTAGTGACAATATTATAAGATCAGACTGTCATTTATTTAATAAATCCAGCAGCTGTTTAAACTTGGGTGACAAGATCAGTAAAACCTTCTGTGCATCCTTAAGATTATTCATTTGGTTTGCAATTTTTATGATGTAGAAGATTTTCTAGCAATACTAAATAATCTATATCATGTTCAGTGAACTGTCTAGAAAGTTGACTGTAGTGAATAAATGTACATTTAAAATAATGCCTTGCTTTCTTGCAGGATGTAGTGGGCGCTCTTTCTATAGAAGAAATCACAGAAATGCTGAGTCTCCATAAACTCTGCTGTGGCCGTAGCTGGTATATTCAGGGCTGTGATGCGCGAAGTGGCATGGGACTATATGAAGGATTGGACTGGCTCTCAAGACAATTGGTGGCTGCAGGTGTACTGGATGTGGCTTAATTTCACAACAGTTGCAAATTAAATTTGTAATTCACTTATTTGATAGAGTTAAGATGTTGTAATAAGCTCTGCATTGTGAAGATGGAGATTAGAAAAAATGTACATGTGTCTGCTTATCAAAGATTGTGAAATTGGTGCAGTAAACACTTTGTGCAATTGCTTCCGTTTTTTAAATTTGGTAATGCAACAGACTAAAAGGATGGGCTGGCTGCTAAGGTGCCTGGATTTTTGTTGTTGTTCTGAAGCTGGTTTGTAACCCAATTTAAGCAAACTTGTTCTGCTAAAACTTTACGTACCTCAAAAAACAACAAGGAATCCTGTGGCACCCTGAAGGCTGAACAGATTTATTTGGGCATAAGCTTTTGTGGGTAAAAAAAAACACTTCGGTGGTGCATCTGATGAAGTGTTTTTTACCCCCAAAATCTTATGCTCAAAAAATCTGTTAGTCTTTAAGGTACCATAGGAGTCCTTGCTGTTTTTCTAAATACAGACTAATACCAATAACCCTCTGAGAATTGTGTTTCTAAATTGATCTAACATTTACCATAGTCTCAGAAGTTACTATTAGATTAAGATTATTAGGGACTTAAAATACTTACCCAAAAGGCAACTTAACCCCCCCCGCCCCCCAATAAATTCTTGAGGAGTTTACAAAACAAGTACAACTCTAGATGCTCTTGGGTAATACATGATGCTGCTTGTACATTTAAAAAGGCATTACTTTAAAGGCATTGAAAAACTCCATATAGACACTACAAGAAGAAAAGTTTATTGCCCAATCATTTATTTATTAACCTTATTGCATGCCCTGGGGGAGGGAGGTATAGGGTTAGACAGTTTTAACACCCTAGTAATAATCTTAGGATCTTGCAGATGTGATGGGTATTGGCATTAACTACTATTTAGTAATACTGAAAGATTCACATAAATGAAAGCAAAGTAAAATTGTGCACTCTAAAATGTCACCTTTCCTTGAATAATGTACAATATATTGATTATAAATAGGAGTTACCTGGGCATGTCCAGGAACATGCATCTTAAGATATTGAATCCCATCCTTAAGTGAAGTGAAGCTGAGAACTTCCTAAAGAAAGCAGTTGAAATGTCAGCCCACTTGATATTTTTACAGGAGTTGTGTCTAGAAAAAGGTAGCAGCCTTCAAATATTAAATAACCTGTTGTAAAAGAACTGCACACTTAACTCTTACTTAGAAGAGCAGGTGATAAAATCAGATCTAGAAGTTTAGTTTCTGATTCAGATTCTTTACATACTTGGTACTATGCTCAGTGCCTGTTCTGAAAGATAATTCATTCTCAGACTCTCAATCCTGGGGCTGTATCTGTTTAATTTTAGAGAAGGTTGGAATTACTTAATTTCTTCTTTTTTGCTGTGTACACAGTTCTGATCACCATAAATCTGTGCAGTGAACACACCTAGCGTGGCTCCTCTATTCCATCCTCTAACTGTGTGACTCCTGGGAACTGATGAGGCTATGCAGAAGGACTCTGCAGGCCTCCGCAACGGACATCTTACTGTATTTACTGTAGTACATATTTTGTAGCATTTTCCCCATTACATACATAATTAAAGGAAAGAATATATAGACAAACTAATACATTTGTAATTCAGGAGGATGCAGTTTTGGTAACTGCTTCTCCTGATGACACTGGTTTATAATGACCTTCATTCTTCATTTCATTCTTATTGTGTTTATATGTACATTGATTGCTAAAATTGAAAAATTTGTATTGTAACTCAAGTGACAGTAAGCATCACTATTTTCAGAGGAGGGGCTACAAATTAAGTTTGTTTTTACATTTAGAAGTGATCTTATAAATCTTTGCACCCATACTAAATACTAAGAGAAGAATTTTACAGAGACTAAGTTCAGACTGTATTTGAAAGCTCTATTTTCCTTCAGAAAAACATGATATATTGTACATAATTTACATAGATTGAAGAGTTTTTGCTGCCCAACTTGAACTGAAATTGTTCACCCCTTTCAGTCTTATAGATGTTTTCTGCCCTTCTGATTACCTGCTCTACCTATATTGCAACATAGACCTTTAAGTATTAAACTATCCTTTTCATAGTTTTATTTTCAAATATGAACAAGTTCCAAGTAATATACTTCAGCTGGAAGGTTTTTAAATGAATAAAACATGCATTGGTGGGAAGATCAAGTATGAAACTTGACATTTCATTTTGTACATTCTACATCGTCAGTTCATTGGATTGTACATGCGCACCTGCTCAGCTGTTACTTTTGTTTTCTTTGATTATTGTAAAGCACTCAGCAAAACCGGTCAACACTTTATAACGTCTTGAAGAGCAGAGTATGTTTGGGAGGAAACAAAATCACATTTATTTTTTACTTTCAGTACAAAAGAAAGTTCTGCTGCAAATGTAGTATACTTGCATAAAAGCATTCTTTGTAAATGGAAACTATTATGTGACTGATTTCAAGTAACTGTGAAAATAGGTGTTGCATTTGTCTGTGAACGTTTCAGGTGTTATCAGGTAAACTTAGATTTATTTGTATTATAAGTTAATACTATATATAAACTGCTTCAATTGTAAATTTTCAATGTCTTGAACTTTAATTCAGATTTTAGTTAATTAACTTATACAATTTATTATTGGGATGTGTTTCTTGCATTCGGTTATGAATTTAGTAGTATTGCAGACAATTATCTGGTTAAAATGAAAACCCCTAATTACTCAAAGTTAATGGTAGCATTTAGCTATCAAGTGTGAATTTTGGCTTAATTGTGAAACTGAATAAATGTAATATGCAGTGACTGAAGAAAAGTGTTTTTAAATTAATCTTGGTTTAAAATTGTAAACAATAGCTAAACTCTTTACACAGTAATGCCTGGCTTCGTGTTATCTAACTTTCATTGTATATAATTGAACTTACTTGTTTGTGGACTGAATGATGACTGAGGTTTCATCTGCAGGAACACATTCACCAAGATAGTTCTTGTTCTGGGCTGCTGGAGCAGAGTTGGGTATGATGGTACTTCACAAAAGAACCAATCTTACTTAAAGAAAGAGTGATTTAGCAGAAAGTTTCTGAATTGCTTTGAACATTTTTTTCCCAAATAAAGAGAATGCTTTAACTATCTGCTTTAGGGTACTATCTTTCTTCTGAGCACTTTCATTTAAACCACTTCTGTTGCAGTTTAAGCTAATAGTAAAAATGTATCTAATCAGTCTAATGCTGGAATTTGTTCACAATGAAAAGGTTATGGCCTGACGATAAGCATTTAGTAATGCTGAAAGTGTTGGCATTGGTATCTAAAATTCTAAAAGATTCAATTATATTAATACTTATCTTCCAATAACCGTGGAACACACAAAAAAGTTGCACTAAACTGAAAGTAGGCATCAGAGATTTCACTTTTAATATTAACATGGATAGTTGTTTCTTTACTGTACCTAAAGCTATTTTGAGTTTCAGGAACAAATCTCCACATTTAGAAGACTTTGATTGAGGTAAACACACTTTGCAAGTTTGAGGTGAAGCTCTACTCAGAAGAGGCACTTTATACAGATGTACGTACGCTCATTGGTGTCTGCTGACTGCAGTGACACGTTGATTTAATGCAGGTGCGGTATTGCATTTGTATTCTTACATGTGTCAGGAAATTATTACTCATTGATACTGTAACTCTTCCTAAGTGAGAGAATAGCATGTTGTGGAATGGGCAATGCTTTATAAAACAGAATAGCAACAGTGTGCTGAGAATTAATCCAGGTGGTGGTTTGTGAAGGATATCTTTATCTGATGACTTAAACTGGTTATAGTAATAAAAAAAATTCTGATACTGAAGATAGGTTGTATGCAGTGCTAAAGCCACAAGGTCTGTGACTTAGTTCATTCATCACACCTTTTACTATATTTTTGTTGAGCGATACCGGGTATTTCTACTAGTATAAAATAAAACTATGTCAATGACATTAATATAGCATATTTTATTGGAAACTTCTCATATATTACTTTAAGAAATTAAAATAGCTAGTACTTTTTCTGTCATCATAGGGAAAGGATCTCGTAGTTGCAGTTTGTGACACACTTAACAGAAGAGTCCAGCAAATGCCTATGATCAGGCACTACTAAAAGCTAATTAATGGCCCAAGTGGGGCTCTGGGGGAACCAATTTCAAGATATAGCCAATCCAGTTATTTAAGTTAGAAAATCAGTAGTATCTGCAAAATTTGGTGTTTCTAGCTCTTACCATTTCAGAGATCTTTCGGGACAAACAAACTTTCAGAACTATTTATAAGTTAATTCTATATATAATTTTCATTAGTTTTCAAAAGCTTGTCTCTCCTCAGCAGAAGCAGGTCCAATTAAAAAAAATGCCACACCTTGTCTCACTGAAAAGGAGGGTAGTTAAAAAAAAAATGTATAAATTCAGAGCATTGATTATTCTCCTAGGCTATGTCTAGACTGCAAGCCTCTTTCGAAAGAGGCTTTTTCGAAAGATACTTTCGAAAAAGAGCATCTAGACTACAATCAGTACTTTCGAACAAGCAAGCTGCTTTTTCGAAAGAGTACCCAGGCAGTCACGATGCTCTTTCGAAAAAGCAGTTTGCATTACAGAGAGCCTTTTTTCAAAAGAGCACTTTCGAAAAAAGGCGTTATTCCTCGTGAAATAAGGAGTATCGCCGTCAAAAGAAAAGCCACGTTCTTTCGATTTAATTTCGAAAGAACGCGGCTGTAGTCTAGACACAGGTGAAGGTTTTTTTAAAAAAAGCATTTTTCCAAAAATCCCTGCAGTCTAGACACAGCCCTAATTAAACCTATTTTTGCATTAATGCAAAACTATTGAAGATTGAAGTAATAGGTTCCATTCAGTGTGCTGTTACTCATGCTACCCTGCTATTGTTTTTTAGACTAAATCAAAGCTTGGGACTTCCTCTTGACCTTGTTTTAGACAGGAGAGAAGAAGGTAGGCAAAAATGTTAGTTGTCTAATATGAATGCCGCTGCCACACGTTACTTATCTGAAAAATATTGTACCATCTGCCCATGATATATTTTAAAATTACACAGTTTACTAAGACAGCCTGAGTATCTGAAAAAAAAATCTCAAATGAGCTAAACTGAATGGGTGACTAAACATTCATAACAATTTTCTTCGGCATGAAACTTAGCATGACATTAAGGGGAAAACTAAACCAAAACAGGGACTTAATGTTCTTAGAGTTAGGTTAATTGATTATCACTACCAGTTGAACCTCTCTAGTCCGGCATCATCTGTGGTCCAGCATGATTTTATTTAACTAGATATCCAGCTACCATAGGTGTGGCCAAGTCCCCTGCAGATTCTTAAAGTTTGTTTACAGGCACCAGTCCTGGTTCTGTATTCTGTGCTGTTGTTCAGCTGTCATACAAAAATGTGTTTCTTAGGTTTTAGGGTACTGAAACTCCTAGAGACTTTACATTTACTACTGCATTCAATAGTTCAACAGTTAATTTTGATATGCATCTGCTTTGTCCAGTAGCACTATAATTAAATATGCTACCTCTAGCTGTAATCTGAATTCTCTATCTGAAGTTATAGAAATCAGCTCTAGGGGAAAAAAAAAACCCATCTTCATGGTGCACCTTTTTTAAAAAGCCAAATCTAATCACCAGTAAATCCATATTCTGCCTGACTCTTGGCAAAATTCATTCTTAAGTGTAAACGTTTAGGAGCCATTACTACATTATTCCAAAAGTCTGTCATGACAGAACCCATCTAAAAGGTGCTGACTAGCAATGGCGCAGTCAGCAGCAATCCAAAGTAAATTGGTAGTACAAATCTTTGCAAGGAGTAGAAATTCAGATTACATGCAGCATTCACTCGTCAATATTTCCCGAAATCCTCCAAGGAGAAGTTTGCTGAGCTAGGGTGAAGAGAATTTCACTGAAAGAGGGCAAAAACAGCTTTGGTGTGTGTGTGTGGGTGTGTGCGCGCGCACGCACACGCACACACACACACACTTGTGCTAGGGCCTCGGATTTTTTGACAGTTAAAATTACTGTGTAAGAGGAACAGTCATGTTTAGAAGAGCAATCAATCAATGAGGAAAACTAATTTTTGGCATGAAATATAAACTCTAAGGAAGATGCAAACACACAGAGAAAGTTAGTAAAAAAGACATTATCAAGAATAATGGGACGTTAGATTAATATTTATGCTCAGACATATACCAAAAGCAATATCCTTCAGTCATTTTGAATGTACAAGTACATGTAATTTAATATGCAAGAGAGACAGAGTTTAATAAACACAGTTGCTTTTTATTTAAAAAATATAAAGTTATGAAAAATACAGTTGGGTTGGGTCATTTCAGGTACACGATTAGTGGAAGAGGTTGGTGTTTGTTCAATTCTGGGGCTTTTCAGATTAAAGAACTAGTAAAAACAAAGTCCAATGCTCAGTTTGTGTTTTTGGGTCCCACAACATTTTTAAAGTAAGATTTTTCAAATTGTTTTACTTCACAGTGATATTAATGATGCTGACATCTTCATATGGCTTGTCAGTTTTGGGATTTACTTTCACATTTGAGATTCGCTGAACAACTTCCATTCCTTTAGTTACTCGTCCAAACACACTGTGCTTGTTATCTAGCCAGGGCTGTTTAGAGGATAGGATGATGGGAAGAAACAGAATTTTTGTTAAAATAGTAAGCACTCTGTAGGTTAAACAGTAAGACAGGGAGAGATTTAGTGCTGGAATAACTAAACACATATGTTTGTATACAAGGGTTATTAAATTAAGTTTTGCACTTCAATATGTATTCATGGTTAATTATTCTGAAGGCATACAGTGAAAGCTTATAAGTGTCTAAATCTAGTTACCTCTTATACATTAAATTCTTCATTTGTTTATACCTAAATATTAGCAGAAGACCATGCTAGGCAAAATTGCAGTCATTTTAATTCACTTTCAATAATGTAAAAAGTTTTCTAAATGAAATATCAAGTTGCATAAATTCCATCCTACTTTATATATTAAGACTAAGTTTTTACATGTTTGAAACATAGTTCAGACAATATCACCTACTTTTACTACAACCAGAAAATGGGTAAAGTTCCTAACTGCTCACAAATATAAAGTAGATCATAGGTTCATAAAATTTCGCTGCTTGTACATTACTCCTCCATACCACTTTAGCTACTGTTTATAAATGCCCCTAAAATAACTCTCTCATTAAAAATATTGAAAGACTCTACAATAGTAAAATTACTGTGCATATGCAGATTGCTTCTAAAAATATCCATAGGCTCCAGCATTTTGAAAGTGTGTGTTGTTTTCTTGAAGACTCTCATTAAAAAGTTTCCTACTTCTATTATTCAGTGAACTAAGTGACAGAAATGAAAATATTAACAGAGTTTGGGCCCCAATCTTGATTGCTGCGGGAAGCCAGAATATAACAAGTCAAAGGTAATAGCAGTATCCATGCCTCCTACATCTCCATGCAGAAGTTTTGGCCAGTCTTAGAAAGAGGTATTTTTTAATAATTAAATTCAGGTGTTAGCAGATAATGTAACTAGGGATGTATAAAGTGGTTTAAAAACATAACTGTGGTACTGTTAAAAATCCTAGCATTTACCGTATATTCCGGCGTACAAGACGACCTCTGAAGTTAAAAAACATCCCCCAAAAATCGGGGGTCGTCTTGTACGCCGGATGCCCCCCCTCCGGAGCCCCTCCGCGGCTTTGAAAGCCTTGGGGGAAGCCGGCGGCGGGGCATCCCAGGCGCGCATGGGCTGACCCCCCTCCGGAGCCCCTCCGCGGCTCCCCCGATTTTTGGGGGATGTTTTTTAACTTCAGAGGTCGTCTTGTACGCCGGAATATACGGTAAATGCTAGGATTTTTAACAGTACCACAGTTATGTTTTTAAGCCTCTGGTCTGCTGGGGACCATCTCCAGCAGACCAGGGACACCGGGAGCAAAGGAGGCGGAGGGGCGCTGGGGTATAAGATGAAACCCTATCTTTTAATTAAAAAGATAGGGGGCCCTATACGCCGGAAAATACGGTACCTGTACTGCTGTCTCTACAGTTTCAGCTTATAATACTGCAGAGGACTGGGACTGGAAGCGGGAAGGCTTCGCTATAAGCACTGCAGTATAACTTTTATACTGCAAAGCCCACAGCTTAGGGTGACAGCCGGCTCAGAGAACCTGTCTGTAACTATGTGCTTATCGGTTAACCATTTAGACAGTTGCACGTGTACATCTCTAGTTGTAACTCCTGCTATAATATTCCGTTGTCTATAAACATGGGCTTGTTTCCCAAATCAGAAGTTTTTCATAGTCACAATCTTAATCACACTTTCTAATGGGCATTTTTCAGTCCAACTTAAGCAATGTACTTCTGTCACATGAAATACATAAAACTAGCTGGACAATAGCATCGTTTTCACTACAGAACTGGCACAACTGCTTCTTTACATAGTACAACCGTGGTTTAACTTCAAAACAGACCTTTAAACTGGATTTTAAATATTACTTACAGTTGGTACCACCGTTATGAAGAATTGGGAACCATTTGTGTTTGATCCTGCATTAGCCATACTAAGTGTATAAGGTCTATCATGTCGTAAAGTTGAATGAAACTCATCTTCAAATTCTCCTCCCCAGATGCTTTCACCTCCCATTCCTGTACCAGTTGGATCACCAGTTTGAATCATAAAACCCTACATAGGAATTAAACACATCACATATAAATCACATGTAGAACATATAAATCTGAAAGGCTCTGAAATAAGATCTTCTAACATATATTGCTCGCAACATACCAAGAGAGCATGGAGGGGTTATCTACCTGAAGTTTAAAGCACAAGCTTTCCATTCCTGCAGGAAGCACAGACCTACCTAATCCCTATGTGTCTACTCTGAATTCTATGATGAGGTCTTTGTTGTATAACAGAGCTAATGGAATATGATGTACATCCAGGATGTCTCTTGGCTTTTCACTTATGCAGTCTGGCCACTTTGCTTTTCTTCTTCCCTTTAGGAGTGTGTGTTTGTTGTTCTTTTGGTTTCCAACTAGAGAATGACCCTTCTCCCTAGATCATGTTGTCTTCTGGCACCTTTCTTATAGGGAGGAATCTAGCACCTGCTTCTCGTTGTCCAATATAGTTGGAAAGTAAACACAAGGGGAACATCCCAGAGGGAGCTCAGATCCTCCTCTTGGAAGGAAGTACCAGCAAGAATGCCAGGTTCCTTGCTAAGGGACTATTACTTGACAATTTTACTCCAGAGAACAAGGGCTGGGAAGTTTAGAATGTTTCCTCAAAGAACTATAAATGGTTCAAGACAGACTTCCCTGCTGGATTTCAAATGGCAAAGAAGTCTGACCTGACCTTGAAAACCGGCTCAAGCTGGTGGGGGAATGACAGAGGGCTGTTCAGACTTTTCAGTTTGTGCAAACAAGTTGTCAAGACTCTGAACCTACTGTCCAGGTAGAGCAAGGATTTGAGTGCTGGGAGCAATTGTGGCAAAATTTCCCTTTTGTGACTTCTGAGCATGCTTCCTCATAGACAAAGCTTTTGTTGGCCTTAACTTTGCTCTTTTGGGACAACTCCGCTCTGCTGTCAATGAAGGGAAGAAGGTCAGTGGTTGTCACATTTATCTAACAATCTAGTTACTACCTTTACAAGAAAAATGGATGGGTGACCTTAGAGCCTCCATGGACAAGTCAGAGCTTCTGCAGGAAAATGATGCAGTCCAAATGATTTCAACTAGGGAAAGGATCAGGATCAAGAAAAAAAATCGTGTCTCAAAAATTTTTCCTGGTATAGTCTAATTCACAGAAAATCTCAGAATGTAGCATCACAACTTATTGCAATTTACTTTTAATATTGTTGCATAATGATGTGCTCTATGATAAGCACAACCAAGACTTTGTAGACAGGTTGTTTGCTTCTTTGTTTAGTTTTCGTCCTGGTTAGCAAAGATTTTCGGTACAGGCAGTCCCCGGGTTACGTACAAGATAGGGACTGTAGGTTTGTTCTTAAGTTGAATCTGTATGTAAGTTGGAACTGGCGTCCAGATTCAGCCGCTGCTGAAAATGACCGCCAGTTCCGACTTACATATAGAATCAACTTAAGAACCCCAAGCCAGCTGCTGCTGAAACTGATCAGCAGCTGATTCCAGGAAGCCCGGGGGAAGAGGCTTCGCTGGACTTGGGGACGCCTGGGGCAGAGCAGCTGGGGTGCTGCTGGGTTGCTCCAGTAGCGCCGTTCCTTGGCGCTACTGGACCAATCCACCAGCACCCCAGCTGCTCTGCCCCAGGAGTCCTGATTCAGCCGCTGTCCGCTGCCCGCGTTCTCCCCGGCTTTTCTCCGCTTTGCTCCCCGTCTCCCTGGTCTGTTGGTCTCCAGCAGACCAGGGAGACGGGCAGCAAACCCCGTTCCTAACTGCGGATCCGACATAAGTCGGATCCGCGTAACTCGGGGACTGCCTGTATAGTGCAGTAGAGCCTCAGTTACGAACACCTCGGAAATAGTGATTGTTCATAATTCTGAGCAAACTCTGATAGTTGTTCTTTTAAAAATGTACAGCTTTGAAACTTTAAGAAAGGGGGAGAAGGTAGCATTTTTTTGTTGCATAGTAGTTTGTTTAATATGGTAATAATGACCTTTATTTTTTAACTCTGCTGCTGCTTAACTGTTTCTGATTCCATATGTGGTGTGTTAACTGATCAGGTCATAACTCTGGTTTTTGTAACTGAGGGTACATTGTGATTTGCACATATCTCAGTTTTCAGGTTTGCTCAGCAGTTTACCAGCAAGATTACTAGTTTTAAACTGAACTATAACCTTAATAAATCAGAACAATCTTCAAAAGCCAACAGTTCGTTGTAAAGGCTGAAAGTTTTTATGAAACAAAAGCATGCTTAATTAACAAAAAAATTCAGACTTAACCAGCACAAACATCTTATGCTCTGTATTTTGACTCATACAAACCAACAGGAAAAGCATTAGTTTTTTGTAAATTACCTTGATAATACGGTGAAATG